GTTATGATCTAAAATAATACTTTTAGGGAGTTCCCTTATTTTATTAATCCAATAATCATAATTATGAGCGTAGTTTAAATTATTATTTGAATAGGCAACTCCCCTTTCCATTTCAAGTTGGTAGATAACTTGATTTTTCTATTGGGTAAATTCTGGCATTCAAATTTGTTTTCAGTGTCTTGTAATAATTATTTTTGCGGACGTAAGACAATATAGGGTCAATATCTGTTGTTTTCTTGGGAGTTTACCCCAATTAAGGTGAAGAAGGGATGTTTCTGGAGATTTTCTTAAGTTTATCTTAAGGGCTATCATACTAGAATATATCAAATCCCAAAATGTAGTTATTTTTGGACATTTCCACCAGATATGTAACATTGAGCCTTCATGGGATAAACATCTCCAACAGAGTGAAGAGTTAGTCTGAGATATTTTAACCAATCTAGTTGGGACTAAGTACCACCTGTGAAATACTTTAAAGTATGTTTCTATAATATTGAGACAATGTATATATATATATTTTATTAATTTTAAGGAAGAACACCAATCCCCCTCTGTGATTTTATAATTCAGGTTTTTTTCCCATTATTATTTTTTGCTGGAGATTCTATAAGTGAATATGATTTTCTTATTAGTTCACTAGCTATAGAGCTAACTGCTTTGACCTCTTTTCTATTAAAAAAAATTATGAATTAGTTTCTTCTTGTCTCCTTCTATCTTTAAAATGAATTCATTTAGAAAACCTCTTACTCTTATATACGCAAAAGTATGTTGATCTGAAACATCCAATTTTAGTTTTAGATTTCCAAATGGGCTAAGTTTAGAGTTTAGTAGAAGATCTTCTATAAAAAATTCTTTATGGGTTCTCCACGAGCTGAGACTTAGATTTAACTCTTTCTAGGAGTCGCAAATTGGCTCCTTCAAATATTTTATTAGCTAGCTTAAGATTCTTTTTTATTGTTTTTTTAATTGCCACTCCTCAATGAAATGGTTTATGACCATTAAGTTAAAATCTTTTGGTTGATGGTTAACCTTACTAAAGTAGTCCCATGTCAGAAGGGCTAGGTCTCTTTCTTCTGATCTAAGTGTTTCTATTTTGAACCAGGCTAGCTCCTTCGAATTATGGATCTGAAATATATGGATATGAGTAATTATGTTAGCCCAATATATATCTCTTAATAGGGGATATCCCATGCCTCCTTTACTACTTTTTTTGTCAAAACCTGTGTCTTGATTCTTGGGGTCTTTCCTTTCCAAATGAAATCAGAAAAGAAGAGTTGAATCATATCCAAGCAGATCTTGGGAAGTTTAGTGGAATCATATTAAAAAGATAGGCCCATTTAGGGATGATATATGCCTTTATTGTATTAGTTCTTCCCCACCAAGAGATTTCTAGGAAACACCATTCTTTAAGGATTCTATTAGTATATTTCATCAATTTCATAACATTATTTTCTACTATAGATTTTCGGTTTGCTGTTATAGTTATACCTAGATATTCAAATTCTTTCTTGGACCAATAAAAAATGTATTTGTCTTTTAGGACCTTTATGGAGGCAGAATTAATGTTTATAGTCAAAGCTGTTGTTTTATGAATATTAATTCTATAATTAGGAATATCCCTATAATTTTGGATCTCCAGCATTAAGTGACTCATTGATAAAATAGGATCAACAATAGAAATCATAACATTGTCTGCATAGAGATAAACTTTCATTTCAGAGTTTCTATAGTCATACATTTTATTTCAGCATTATTTCTGCTGATCGCAAATAGTTCAAGTGAGAGGATATATAGAAGAGGAGACAGAGGACAACCCCGTCTTGTCCCATTTGTAATCTTGATCTATTCAGAACACAAATCAGATCCAATTATTCAAGCAGTTGGACAGGTGTATAAGGCTCCGATAGCATTTGCTATTCATCCTCCCAGCCCGAATGCTGCTAGAGTTTTCTTCATATATCCACATCCAAAGGCCTTTTCTGCATCCACCAACATGGTCATAAGGGGCGTCCCTTGGGATTGGGCATGTTCCAAAATGTCTATCATCCTACGCGAATTATCTCTAGTGTCGGCCCTGAATAAAACCTATTTGATCATGAGTGAGAGGACGTATTTTGGGAGCCTAGCCAACACTTGGTTTTGCACCCCTCCCTGTCACAGGTGCCTCATTCCAGGTCCCTATTTAGCCTTGTACTGCAGAGATCCCCTGATGGAATATTTTCTCCAAGAAAGTGGGTTAATCTCAAAGAGCAGGCATTAGGCTATTATAGTAGGACCTGCCAAAGATGAGGTACACTGACATTGTTGCAGGCTTATGCAATGTATGATCATATACTGTAACTAAACACCCATTATTTTTTTTTTTTTTTTTTTTAAACTAACAAAATCTGTCAGCATAGAAGTTGCTGTTTAGTGGATAAGTGGGCCATTCATGCATGTTCAGGTGAGTTCAGCACCCACATTTCATATAAATATCCTATATCCTATATATATGTATACTTTCTTGTTTTATTTTGGGGCTTATAAAGCAAAGTGAGGTACTTTGTTAAAGAAAAAGACATAAAAAAAACTGTGCTTATGATAAATTGGACTTTGAGGGGCAATTGCAAATTTAGTGAAGTGCTTCCTCAGCATCCAAAGGATGCTGCATGCCTGTCAGATTTAGAAGGAACACTTCCCTGGATCTTTTTCTGTCCTCAAAGTAGTGATCTTTGCGTATTATTTATAAAAAAAAAATGCTGTCTATGTTTTCCACTTCATTTTCTGTCCTCAGCTCGCTAATTTTTCAGAAATGTACTCCAGTCATGCTTTCGAAGAGAAATATATCAACATTGTAATAATACATATTATATTTTTGTCACTTGTTGTATTATTGTTTGTTTGTGTTGTATAATGCTTTTCTAAGCATAAACTGCTTTCCTCAGACATATATGCCTTTTATAAAAAAATAAAATAAAAGAAATCTCGGAAAGGCAAGAATATAAGGTACATGTGAATCTATCTAGTATTGGGGTCAACTGACCTGTATGTGCCATGGATTCAACAAAGTGTTGAAAACATTCCTCATACATTTTAGTTCATGCTCACTTAAAAATATGATGCTGTTCCTGCAGATTTTTCTAGTTGTCCCACCTCGTCCTAAATGTATTCAGTTTTGAATACATGCCAGGTTTTTTCTGCAACTTTTTCCAACAGAAACAGAAAGGTGTTTTTTTAATTCTCTTTTTGCTGCCACTCTAAATCTGGCAGTGTTTTGAAATTAAAAATTTCTGCTAAAAACTGGCAGAATTTATTATAAAGAAAAATCACCTTTTAGATCACTTTTAGAACACTTTAATATAATCACAATAATGATAAAATTTAACCGTCACTTTTCAGAACACGTTAATAAATATCCATCATTGTTCCTTTGGAAGTTCCAAAATGGTTCTAAAGGAATGTACATTGTCGCCAACATACTTTGGTTTCATAAAGCCAAATTAATCAATAAAGCATTCCAGAACAGAAATCATGGACCATTACATCACAACTGCCTGTGTGTAGTGTTGCCACAAGCACGATGGCCCATGGTGGTCTATGAACTTGGGTGGTTTATGTCAAATTGTAACTCTACCACCTGTATGTCACAACAGGAATAGAGATTCATAAGATTATTCAAGGACATGCAAGAAAACATGAACCATAGAAATATTTGGAAAATTTACAAATACAGTAAACAAACTCTGTCCATATACCATATAAGGCACACATTTATTGACTTGCACAACAAAATAACAGCAATACTGTCTGAAATTGAGATGAAAGTCTTCCAACCATAAAAACAACTTAAAGCCAAGATGGGCACTGCCTTATTTCACAGCAATTTAAAATGAATTTTTAGCACATAGATTATTTTCTTATTTGTTCTTTATTCAGGCATGGCTTTAGCAATTAAATGATACAAATCGGTTTAAGGCACTTCATCTCTTCTGGGGTTTAATAATTGACAACCATTCTTTTCTCCATACGGATCAATTATCACAGATTTTTTTCGAGACAGTCCATAGTTATGAACACTCCCTTGCCTACTTTTTAAACGTTTAACTGAATTTCTAACTTATCTATGTATATGTTTATTACAGATTACACAGTTAAAACATTAAGCAATCAACAGACTACATTACGGACAACATTGTATTTGTAGTTACATCTGCCCTTTTCTGGATTAATGTAGAATTATAAATATATAAAATAGTTTATTACATAATGTATTTTTCTTTAGAATCTTATACGTAAAAAGCCTGCAGTACAAAATAAGTGTGAGTGCAAAAGTAACGAGTCAATATGCAAGCAGACCTATTTTTGATAATGTGCGGGCACCATTAAACCTTGCCAGTGCCTTAGCCAGAAATCAGATCAGTGGCTCAGCGAACCCTGCTTGAAATCAAATTACACTGCAATCTTCTTTGGTTTTAGAAAGGTAAGTATTTTTTTTTGTTTTGTTTAGCAGGGAGGTAATAACTTCACTCCCTGAAGAAATGTGTTACAGATCCCCTCTGGTAAATTACTTTCAGCTCAAGTCTGCCATCATACTGAAAGATATTAAAATAAACAGCATACAGATTAAGGAACAGTGCACACATAAAAATAAAATTTTACATTTTACAAGGCTACTTAAAATCACCTTTCTTAGAAAACAAATATGGGAATTCAGTTCCACCAAATGGTCATATTGTGTTAAGCCCACCACTACTTCACAATACCCCAATATATGTGGGTCCTACACTAATTCCAATGTGGGAGATACATTAAATAATTAAAAAGTACTAGTGCTAAATAAACTAAAGTGTATTTAATTAATCTGTTTTAAGAGCATTGTGAATATATATATATATATATATATATATATATATATATATATATATGTATGTAAATATATAAAAATAGATGTATCCCCTGCACTCACGCTTACATAATAGTCCAATGCCGGGCGCACCACCAGAGCTCCAAGATATGTAAAAACCAACAAGAAGGAAGGCTGCTCTCCGGACTTTAAAACAATCTTGTCTTGTTGTCTTATTTTTGACCCTGAGGAAGGTCCCGAACGGGGACCGAAACGTTGGTCATAATTTTTTAATATTATTTGAATACATTTTTTGTTTTAAAGTCCGGAGAGCAGCCTTCCTTCTTTTTGGTTTATATATATATATATATATATATATATATATATATATATATATATATAACTGAAATGTTGGCGTTTTGTACACTTTTTTTGTGGAAAACCTGGGAGTACTGATTTTTTTTTTCTCAGTGTATATATATATATATATATATATATATACACATACACATAATGCAAAATGAATGTGATAAAAAAAAACACAATACAAAAGAATGCTGTGGCAAAACTAAACAATTAAAGTCATAGTGCTTTGATTTGTATACTCACAATGCAAATTATATATCTGCTCTATAACAAATGAAAAGTATAATTAAAGTGGCATTACTACCCAAAGCCTACCCAAATTTGTACTTTGCTGTTCACCTCCAAAGTGGCTACAGAAACTGGGGGACGGAGTGGGTTGCTCAATCCAAAAGGAATCTGGTCTGGACTTCAAACTAAAAAAAAGAAGAAATAGGGGCACACCCATGAATTTCTTAGCAATTAAACAGCTGTAGAGACCAAGTTTTATACAATATACAGATTAAGGAACAGCGTACACATAAAATTAAACTTTAAAATAAACAGTGACACGATTTGCTATTTAGAAAGTAAAAACAATTTCCTGTGTTGGTATTCTTAAATAAAATGTGGTATATTATGTAAAGTATATTTATAGCAATTCTTTTTAAAAGCCAAAGTGATCAACATCAAAATAGTATGAGAAATTAGATTAGGCTAAAGAATGAAAATTGTACACTATCACTTGCAAAAACATGGTGCAATGAATGCTAATTCCTGATGTTTTACATTGAAAGGAAGGCTGAGGCGGAGGTCTGGAAAAAAAGGCATGTTTATATATATATATATATATATATATATACAGGGAGTGCAGAATTATTAGGCAAATGAGTATTTTGACCACATCATCCTCTTTATGCATGTTGTCTTACTCCAAGCTGTATAGGCTCGAAAGCCTACTACCAATTAAGCATATTAGGTGATGTGCATCTCTGTAATGAGAAGGGGTGTGGTCTAATGACATCAACACCCTATATCAGGTGTGCATAATTATTAGGCAACTTCCTTTCCTTTGGCAAAATGGGTCAAAAGAAGGACTTGACAGGCTCAGAAAAGTCAAAAATAGTGAGATATCTTGCAGAGGGATGCAGCACTCTTAAAATTGCAAAGCTTCTGAAGCGTGATCATCGAACAATCAAGCGTTTCATTCAAAATAGTCAACAGGGTCGCAAGAAGCGTGTGGAAAAACCAAGGCGCAAAATAACTGCCCATGAACTGAGAAAAGTCAAGCGTGCAGCTGCCACGATGCCACTTGCCACCAGTTTGGCCATATTTCAGAGCTGCAACATCACTGGAGTGCCCAAAAGCACAAGGTGTGCAATACTCAGAGACATGGCCAAGGTAAGAAAGGCTGAAAGACGACCACCACTGAACAAGACACACAAGCTGAAACGTCAAGACTGGGCCAAGAAATATCTCAAGACTGATTTTTCTAAGGTTTTATGGACTGATGAAATGAGAGTGAGTCTTGATGGGCCAGATGGATGGGCCCGTGGCTGGATTGGTAAAGGGCAGAGAGCTCCAGTCCGACTCAGACGCCAGCAAGGTGGAGGTGGAGTACTGGTTTGGGCTGGTATCATCAAAGATGAGCTTGTGGGGCCTTTTCGGGTTGAGGATGGAGTCAAGCTCAACTCCCAGTCCTACTGCCAGTTCCTGGAAGACACCTTCTTCAAGCAGTGGTACAGGAAGAAGTCTGCATCCTTCAAGAAAACATGATTTTCATGCAGGACAATGCTCCATCACACGCGTCCAAGTACTCCACAGCGTGGCTGGCAAGAAAGGGTATAAAAGAAGAAAATCTAATGACATGGCCTCCTTGTTCACCTGATCTGAACCCCATTGAGAACCTGTGGTCCATCATCAAATGTGAGATTTACAAGGAGGGAAAACAGTACACCTCTCTGAACAGTGTCTGGGAGGCTGTGGTTGCTGCAGCACGCAATGTTGATGGTGAACAGATCAAAACACTGACAGAATCCATGGATGGCAGGCTTTTGAGTGTCCTTGCAAAGAAAGGTGGCTATATTGGTCACTGATTTGTTTTTGTTTTGTTTTTGAATGCCAGAAATGTATATTTGTGAATGTTGAGATGTTATATTGGTTTCACTGGTGATAATAAATAATTGAAATGGGTATATATTTGTTTTTTGTTAAGTTGCCTAATAATTATGCACAGTAATAGTCACCTGCACACACAGATATCCCCCTAACATAGCTATAACTAAAACAAACTAAAAACTACTTCCAAAAATATTCAGCTTTGATATTAATGAGTTTTTTGGGTTCATTGAGAACATGGTTGTTGTTCAATAATAAAATTAATCCTCAAAAATACAACTTGCCTAATAATTCTGCACTCCCTGTATATATATACACATATATATATATATATCTATATATATAAATATATATATATATATATATATATATATATATATATATATATATATATATATATATATATATATATATATATATATATATAGAAACACTTGTAATCCTTGCACACAGACTAAACGGTTGTAATGTCCGGGTGCTTGTAGTCCAGGGTAGATAAGAATATCAACAAACAAGGGATGACCAGCACTCACGGTTTTTGTAGAAGTTAAAAGTCCATAAATTTATTTAAACATATTTAAAAATGTAACAGCTCGACGTTTCAGTCCTCCTCCGGGACTTTCATCAGGAATACTAGCCACATACAAGACAATAAACCATTTAAATAAGAGACAAGTAATTAGAAAATTAACTTACCCCAGATGTACACTCGTTATCGGCTACCGCCCGCGTCCCCAGATACCCAGTGCGCATGTGTGTGCGTGCTCCGCCCCTCCACCACGTAATCGCGTACCGTCCGTTGCCATGGGAGCTGGATACATTCGCAAGTCCGGTCACCCTGGCAACCTGGAAGCGGTATAAGCGTTGTGGGGTTTTAATAATATGTGTAAAAATAAAAATACCGTACTGGATCAAAAAACCAATCAACAAAGGGTTGATAATGTAAACTATCAACCAGTCTAACACCTCGAAGTGTCTATCCTCCATTCTATGATAAGTATTTAAAGAGGTAGACCGTAGATCTGTATACCATATATAATGTGTAAACCAACACACCAAAAATAAAGTGTAAGACCCAAAAAGGGACTAAAAGTGCTAAAGTGCAAAATGTGCAAACAGTGCAAAGTGGAAAGATCTAAATGGTCCAAAAGTGTAAACTATGTATTAGAGTATCGATTTAAAGTGCCAATTACTTTCAGGTACAGTATTATAAAGTGCATTAAATAAGGCTTCCTAAGTTGAAGCAAAGTGGCAAGATATATACTAGAATAGCAGTGAAGGTGAAGTGGATAATATTCTTCAAAAAATGCGTTGTATGATAGAGTATATGCATGCCAGGCTGCTTGTCAATCATTCAGGACAGCCAACTGAGGATGGACCCCGCTGGGAGAAGTTTCAGTGCTCTCTGCTGGGTCCTAGTGCTCTGAACATCTAATGATGTGCTAACACAATGCTTGTTGGGAACACCAGAGACACCGGAGAACTAAGTCAGGACAGCAGGACAGAACATGAAAATCAGGACGGTCCTGCAGTAACCAGGGCGGTTGGGAGGCCTGAAATTGTTAAAAAAAAAAAAAATGATTTGCTGCACAGCTTATCACAAAAATCTAATGACTTATACCTATATTTGTGTTTCTGGAGTGCTCTCTTTTCCAGGATCTGACTCAGTCCCTCACAATCTCTAGCACACTGTCCCCTACTGCCCCTGTATAGCAGAGAGCTGAGTCCGTGGCTTAGACTAATCTAAAGCAATGAAGAAACTTCCTCATCCCACCTGTAACTCCTAGTGACTAGGACGCTATGTGTATGTATATATATATATATATATATATATATATATAAATTGGAGCTTGGCTTTAAGTCTCTACAGGTCATGTACCTTAACCCCTTAAGGACACGACCTGTAGATTTGTGACATGTCATGATTCCTTTTTATTCCAGAAGTTTGGTCCTTAAGGGGTTAAAGCCCCGCAAGATCAGACTTTACAGTTCAGTGGCAAACTCTGGTTTATAATACGACAATCAGGGCAGGAGGTAACATTATATTTGGGGTTTATCATCCTTGTCTGTATCGGGCAGCTGCTTGGAGAAGCATCTGTGTGATATAAAAAGGAAAATTAACTGTTGCTCTGCCATCTCCTGCACACTGCTAAGGAATTTCACAGATACAGCCCTTAAAACGCACCCTTCTACTGATTCCTCAGTGCAAATTAGATTTTGTGGTGTTACCGGTGACTAACTTCCCTCTCCTAAGGAAATGAGTTTATAACAAACTTTGCAGTCTACAATCTTGCATGAGAGGTGGTGGTGACTTCACCAGAGACAATATCACATTAAATATGCATATTATAAATGTCTGGAAGAAAAAAAAATAACAACCTAGAAACAGCAGACATCATGCAGATGTCATCCTTTGTCTGCTGGTTTAGAAAAAATGTTGACTGGGGGAGTAGTCAGTGAAAAAGCTAGTGCTATTAGGGAAACATAAAGTAAGTTTTAAAAGGAATGGTGGGTGGTTTTAAGTTTACTGCTAACATTACATAAGGTTTTTTGTTTTGTTTTTTTTAATGTAGAAGTATAACTAAAGAGAATTAACATCAGTTTTGCTCTGAGATATGAATTGGACATTATAATCAATAAAGTGCTCAATAACGTTAACCACAACGTGTTTTAAAAAATATGTAAAATAAAATGCATGAAATACGTAATTTTATTATATATATATAATTATCATTCTGCATTTAAGTATTTAAATGCATATTGTGTGTGGATTTATATCTTGTGTGGGTGTTTTGGTGTTTTTTCTAATTTTGTATACTTCTTTCCTTCATCTGGAGACACTCGGGAACTGTCCCCAGGGAGCAAAGCATGAGCGTCATTAGACAAGATTGCG